AGATGTTGCTCGGACACCGTGTTTCCGTTCCCCTGTTCCACATACACATCGCAAATCCATAAATATTATGCGTAATACAAGCCATGTTAATCTCCATTTGTTATCCACTCTCACAACAAATGAAACGATAATGTGGACTCCTCAAAATCCCTACTGAGTGTACAGCAGCTTACGGGAGTCGCAGGCAACGCTGTAACAACACACAACCCGCAATGAGGTTGCAAGAAAAAGCCTAAAACTCGACAAATTTGCAGTATAACTTTGTTACAGTGCTCATATTCTGTCGCTCTCGTTAATTATCGTATTGCGAGTAGCGCTGATAACTTTTACCAGACCTCTTAACTATCAGTTAACACCACCCAACAGCTTCTCGACCAATCAGGCTTTATAAATGCCCAAGTTCAAGTCTGAAATCAAGTTTGAGAACATCGACACAATGTGGCAGTCTTGAGTAACTATTTAAAAAGAAATGAACATAGACGTGCTCGAATCTAAACCTCAGAATGTGTATTTTATTTAATGCTTGACTTGTCGTCCCTTGATCCATGTTAGAGTTAGATCATGAACAGTCGTAAAAGTTTATGATTACGCACTCCGGGGTGTCGCATCCTCTACCACATTTTTAATATGCATATTGTGTGGTCAATATAAACATTCTACTGATCTACTGATCATGAGTGTGATTCAAAATCCTAAGCCAGTACACTGTACTGATGATTGGTATGTCCAGCCACGCAGCACTTTTTTGTCGAAATGCCCATATGTTGCCTTTCCCAAAGCATGTCTGTCTCGTAAATCCACGGATATCATCCGCCTGACACGCAGACATAATCCCTTCATTGCAGCCACACACAGTACCAATTTCCAAAATAACTGGTATGAATTTTTAAACGCGATTATAGCGCAGAGTGTTTGATAATTCATACACCGTCTGTCATCAGACTATGAGAATACAATTAGTATTAATGTACTTTTTCTGTTTTTAGTAACAGTACGGTTTGGCCAAAAAATGTCCATATTCGCGCATTTACACCATTCGCGTCGACCATTTAATGTCCTTCATCCATCCGTATCTTATGCTTTCATCCAGCAAGTTAGCATAAAACACACTACAGTCAGGCTCAACCATGGCAATTCTCTGTTTTATTATTATATACATTATCTAGATGCATTTAGATATCCAATTATGCGAATATACGACACGGCCATGTAACGTATTAACACATAATTTATTTACAGCGATTTTAAATGAAATTTTACAGAAATAGCTACAACCCACACACATCCTTACAAGTTATAGTGTACTATTTCAATGATATCTCATGGTCAAGTAACAAGTGATCTAATGCAGTCTCAACTGTAGTAGAACAAGCCAATGACCCAGCCGTGTGCGCCCGCCTACGGTGGAAATAAACTAAACTTACATCTTACATAAACTCGTGTATGCATGTGTGGTCGAACTCTAGCGACGAGATGATTTAATAAAACTAAAGGTGAACATCTTCCCGAGTTTTTTTTGTATAATTTGAAAGCAACATCTCCGGCCATGGACTACCAGCCATCGTATGGAATTCTGGGGTACTTCTTCTTAGCATGAAGTGATTGGATCTGTTCTTTCTCAGCACTCTACAGAAAATCTACGTACAAGTTTACCAAATATGCAAATCATTACCTCTCATCATGAATTATTTATAAATTATGCATGATGATCAGAAGGTGAGCGACGGAGGGGGGGGGGTCATGGGATATTGTGATAACCATGCAAAATCATAAATTAGCAACAAATCCTGAAATATAAAGACATTAAAGCTAGCCCGTGTTGAAGACCATGGTGTTTATCGACCAAAACTAATATAATTTCTATTGTTTTGTAACCTCTAAAAACCACTTCATTTGAATGGAATTTCTGAATTCAATTTCAGAATTGTTTTGGATAATATTTCCCATTAACTTTACAAAATCGAAAGCAGTCATGATATTTAAATGATAAGTGGCGGGGGAAGTTATACTTTTCTTGGCACAGTGCCAATGTAACTCATAAACCGGAAATGAGTATCTACAACGGGGGAGTCTCGAGATTTCTCGTTGCTAAGCCGAGTTGTTTGTGAGTTCGTTTGCCTTGGGTTTTTACGAAGTTAAATACTAGAATATAGATCTTAGGCCGATGCTTCTTATAAATATCTTGCACTTCACACATTTATGGCCTCAATACTTCACATCATAATATGCTTTGATGAATAAAAACATATATTTTCATATTTTTAAGAACATATTATAAACTTTCAAACGCAGTACGCAAGCCATGTACAATGCGAAATCAAAACTGATATAGTAATATATTTGCTTAAATCTGCATAATTCTAATAACTGGAAGTGCATCGATTCACAAGATCGACATGATGGTTGCACGCATGAAAGAGCCAGGCAATCAGCGAGTCTGAAACTAGACAGTGTGAAAGGTACTTTAGTGACTATTCAAACGTACATACTAGTAATATATATTGAAGTTACCCGCTGACCTCAACTGTATAAAAGCTAGACCATATGGAGTAATTAAATTGACATTCATATACGTTACACTATAAATAACAGATGCTTTCTTTTTTTTATGGATCGCCTAGGTTCTAGACTGTACCAGACTTGACACAATTATATACCATTGATCCAACTCAATGATGAATGTAAATGAGAGGAAGGTAAACAGAATACACTAATCACGTACGTATTAGGCATGGATGGATGGGTGGGTCAGTGTATGTGGATGTGTTTTAATTAATACGTTCAATCGCTATTTTATTTTATCCGTATTATGTGAAAATACAAGATCCTGAGGATCGCCGTAAATTCTGGTCTAATTTCGCCTGCGGTTCTCGAAGGCAGTTCGTAACGCTCATAATGGTTTATTACAAAATACAATCACGCCGTCTACGGGCAGTTTGCGTAAAAAGCAACTCGTTACATGCAATGGAAAGGGCGGGTGCGTTACATCATGAGTATTATTCTTTTTAAAGATATTATACGGCTGTATCAATTCAGACAACAACAACGTGGCCTGTACTGTTTTCACCTATACGAAGAGTATAAATTTTCTGATCGAGAGAGGGCGTGACAGTGTGCCTTTTTATACTAGTATTTTATTATTAGCTAACATACAAATCAGCAAGTTCTGACAGTGATGTATTCTAATTGTTCTTTGTCGGTTCTTTAACGTTTTCCTAAATGAAGCACGTAGAATGGTAAGCCAACAACATTTTCCCCGTGGTGTGAACAAGTTCTACGGTTACACTAGAGCAAACATAATCCGTATACGTTGATTCCTATCTCCACGCATATGTGGTGGTAGTGAGCTGGAACATTACAGTTCGAAAATTCAAAATGTATATCAAATGTCATGTGTCATTCAACATCGCGTGTCAAGCCGGAGAGTCAGGTCATACCTCAGAGACCACCATCGTATCACGGGGCCAGTGGAATCCGGGTAGGCCACCACTCTGTCAGAAAGATTCGAGCCGTTTGTGATTACACGTGCCGAGTGACACTGAATGGCACATGACGCCCGCTAGTGTAACCGCTCTGATTTTATAAACGTTATAACTTGATTCGAATTACATGGAACAGAAGATAACACGAGAACAAACCGGTTTACGTGTGATCACGATTATGACGTGATGAACTTTCACTGATTTTGTTAACAGTCAAACAATGTGTTACGTGTTCAGACAGCCACACGTAAAGAGTTCTAAAGTTTATACATTTATAATAAATACATTATAAATAAATGTCTTGGGCAGTAATTCAGATAAATCGCGTGTAATTAGAAAGCGCCCCACAAACTGTTAGGCTGATTTGCGATTCGCTCTGCTTAAATAAAACCATCAACATGTTTCCGGATGTTACCATGGAAGAACACGAGCGTAAAGCTAACATCATTTAAATAAAAGATAAAACCGGGGCCCATATATGAAGTTCGCAAAAAGCATTCAGTTTTCAGCAGTCACTTAACTTTATTATTAGTGCGTCTTTTTTGCTGTTATCGTTATTGCATTCACACAAGTTAACCTTTTAACTTAGATTTCGATAAGATGACAAACTTTGTGCGATTGTATTTTTCAGGTCATTCAAAGTTGCGTTGGGACTTACTTTTAGACAGTGTAACATTGTCGGCGCCATTGGTCTCTCGTCAGCGTGCAACAAAATAAAAAGCATGCTAAATTGAACACTGCTATTACAAGACTAGTTTTTTGCCCACTTCCAAGGCAATAGTCATATTTTATCACCCAACTAAATACGAACATACAGTAGGATGTCAGAAACTCTCAATGCAAAGTATTTCTCAATTGACATGTACATTTCACATCTAATTGTGTAATAGTGAAGAAAGTAATGTAAGTAAGTTAAAGTAAAAAATATCATTGGATTGCAAATCATATCGAACTATAAATTGCATATTTTAAAACGCAATGATGTATTTAATCAATCATTGGGAAAAAAAAAATAACACTTACTTTTGTTAGTATTTGGCATCTATAATGGCACTAACAGACCACGGTGATAAAAACATACATAAACAGTCACTTATTACCATAAGACTCGTATATGGTCGCTTAGCTCATATATGTACACCTAAACAGAAATAAATATTAACGATGACGTAAAGCGGCGAATAAATGACTGAACGACCAACTTTCTAATAAACAGGATGTTAAATTTAGTTACTGTTTAAAAGGCGAGACAATTTACGAGGCATTCAGGCGTAAACAAGTATTTATTTATTACGTTTAGTTCCTTCATGTCGAGCAATCCTATAATTACAAGACACTCAGAAAGTGGATGGCGATGCGCGGTTCGCGTTTGTTTACCGTTAGAATATGCGCATGCGCCTGAGAGGCAGGCCCAATTTCCAGCCAATGGGACGCGTTCGCTGCGTTGATGCATGGGAATCTCTTTAACATGCTTTAGTTTCTGTTCACATTTGCGGAATCCGTATTTGCGGGTCAACTGCGAGAAAGAGTTTTACAGGGATTTCAACTACCGTAACTGAGCATCGTGAAACAGATTCCCCAAATAAATAGGTATGTATAAATCTGTGTATCTTTTGCGTACATTTAATGAAAAATGTCATATTAGACTATTTCTTATGTTTTCTATTTCTAGCATTACGTACGTGACGATTTTGTCACATAAGTATATTATCAACTGAGATGCTCAGATCGGAATTTTGAAAGAATTCAACTTCAACCACGTGCTTTTTAAATCAGACACTGACAAGTTTTAAACACTTTGCGTCGATGTGTACATTTTGTTTTCTTGGTTAAGCCTATTTAGGCATCCGGCTGAAAGGCTTTCTGTCGGGGTTGATCTTTCCCAATCATAATACTTATGTTTTGAAATTTAATTGTAATTTGCGTACCTCTGGTGGACTTTCTAGTAAGTTCGTTAAGGGCGATCATTTTCTTCTCATGTGGTGATGACGTGCATTTTCAGAGTTTTTTACATTTTAAAATTGTGTGAAAATTGATTTAAAATAAATATGTATAATGTGTATATATATTGCTGTTCGGTAAGTGTATCAGCGTGCTTTCTCGGCAAATCGGCAAAGTTCTCTTGAAAATATCACTAATTTAGCGCCGAGCGTCTTACGATGTTAAACTCAATACAAATAGTTCTATGAAGTATTTAGAGATAAAGTGTGCTAATCGCGTATTCACAACACCAATATATCGTGTTTTTTATCAAGATATTTTATTTCACCACTTTGAATTCCCTAAATGCTGTCTTGATGGACTTTTCTTTCGATGCTATAGTTTTCCGTACGACCAGAATGTACGCATGTACTGTATGTCACAGTCTGTTATCTTTCGTTTGTTAGTGAGACATATATTTCAATTATTCTGACAAGTACGCATCGCTCATAGTGTTTTTCGTCACCAGGAGGTGAACGATACAGTTCCTCGCGTGCCGAGCCCTTTACTGGTATTAGGTTTTCGCGATAGTGCGTTGACCCGCGAAATTGTAGCCATCGGGGCTTTTAGAATGTGCGTCGAAAGTTTCGGTCAAACGCGCTGCATACGCCTCCTGGGAACTACATATCGAATGCGATGAGACGCGGTGACTGGGGCTCTTTACCTATTACGCGAATGCGCACGTGTTCTGCATTATTGGTACGCATTATTAAGTCAAAGTACATGTCCATTTGTTTGGATCATTACTTTCTTCATGAATATCAACAAAAACAAATTACAAATTACAAATTAACCTATTTTCTATTGTTAAATGAATCAAGTTTGAGTTATTTTCTTAAATATGTTCGCGCTATGTTAATACGAACCAGTTGTGGAATGACATATTTCCCGTTACAGTTGGCCAGTAAATTAACGTAAAAAATATGCGCAATGGAAGTTGAAGTTTTAAATCAGTGAATACTACATACTTTCACAAAAAAACATAGATATTAGATAAACAAAACATTATTAAAATGTATTATGTTATTATTCTTATTATTAATTGACAACTGCAAAATGTGACTATTTTAACATTAAAGTAACTATTATCCATTTTTCGCTTCTGTTACCGAGGTGATCTACATATAAGTTATCAATACGCACCAATAAGAACGGGAAATTTAAAAGCAATCATTTGGCTTGCCAGTTTACTGTTTGTCACAAAATAACATGTAAAATGCACGTCTGACCAGGTGACCCATAAATCGCAGATTCCGACTGTGTATTCTCTTGGACAATCAACCCCTGGTATTCCACTCATAATTTACATTATTTCGCCATTGGATAATCTGTCACGGAATATCACCCCACGTGACCTTCACCGATCGCAACTGATTTCGGGTTGAATAACAAATGATGTAATACATTAATTTGATTATGTTAAAACGTAGTCGCTGGCACACTGTGGTGACAAGGCACACGTACAGTGAGCATACCACCCCGCAAGGGTCGAAGTCGTTACGCCAAGTATATATTTCAAGCACCGCAGTGTTTGATTTATATCCCCAACCAAACATCAGCAATGAAAACTCACATTATATCACGCGTGCATTTATTGTCTACACTTTTTTAACGGGAGCATTTTTACTGAGCCTGGTATATTACGCTTCTGACTCCGAGAGGTTGTAAAGCATGACGACTATCATCTGTACATATTATTGGCTAGTGTTTTAGTAAACATCGCTAATAGCCACGAAGTGTTTATTTGACGTTGTCAAATGCAGGTTCTATAAAATTGTGACTGTTAGCTGTGAGCTCGTTGCATCACATTTTTAGGATACATAGCAACCCTTCACGTTCTTTTGAAATATTGTGCTCTTCGTCTGAATTATCCTGCCTCCGAAATATTTCAGCTGGCGACCCACAATGATATTCGCTGTTATTTAAATCCGTATGTGTGTGTTAGGGGACACGCCGCGACGCAGCTATGATAGTGAATAGCAAACATAACCGGGACGAGAAAAATAGATTGGTGATTTGCGTGGTGGCAAAACCTAAATAGATACTATACGATATGTACGATAAATCTCGTTCTAACTGTTTCCTGACAACACACCACGCATGAATTTCAACTACGTTAGGTCACGTGACTCTGACATACACTTGCAGATGGCTTCGTACTTAGCAGCCACGGACACTGTTATGACGAATAGGAAACGACACTCAACTTGACATCGTTAAATATATGGGCCATAACTATTAGTGATGGCACGTTTGATTCCTGTCTGTCGCCACTGTCTATACCCTTGCCATATGCATGTCTGCACTGGTTACAAATAGACTGGATATTTATAGGAACTCGGTAGGAAACGCATTTACTGTAATCCAATTTAGTAATAGTTACGACCGATTTATTTGTTCCGGTCTCTATTTTGGAGCCATATTAAATTGGATCCAGCTATAACAGTGTTGACGTGCGCCCACACTGATGACGACGCCTTCTTGAATGTCACTTAACATCCGGTATCAATACATTGAACTTAAATTTTTAAAAAAACGAACATTCCCTGTTTTTTTATTCTTTTCTAAATTGACCAAATGAGCAGATGCACTGTGGATATCAATTGTAGTGTCATGAGTCAGTGTCAGTGGTGAATAACGTAACGATGTTTACTCACCGTATCCCGCTTTGGAGTGTTGGAATTCTATATTTCGTCATAGCATTAAAAGCAGTATTCAAACCAAGCTTTATCAAATACAGTCCATGTACATTTCCACTTTTCAGTTTCAGTTGAACAAAATTCAGTGTGATACATGTATCGTAAGCCAACTAAACCTAATAACAGTCCAGTCAAACGAGGTTATACATATACGAGGAATTCATGATGGTAAATCTGTTGAATACAATATACATTAAACGCATATGGCCGTCGAGATCTCGTTAGAAACGACAAAGCCACGAGACTTGCCTTTGTTCCCTGTTCCAACCCCCAATCCCCTCCCCCCATCATCGCATCCAATATCAAAGTTACATAGTTGAGTGGAACAGTAGACGCCATGACAGAACGAGATCTCGACGACCAATTGCGTTTAAGGTTTATTGCAGTCCCATCAGTATGAAACCATCTGATTACAGTGCAATATAGTGGCACGTCCTGTATTAATGTTCCCGTGGATTATGTCATATTCTATTAGTATAGTAATGCATGTAAAATAAAATAAAACATAAAAAGTGCATCTAAGCAAAATCGCTGTAAATTTTCAGTCAATGTCTTTTATTTAATCGTCGAAATAACTTACTTCACGCAACGTGGTCGGAGCGGGTATTTTACATTCAATAAAACACGTTTTCTAACCGCAAATTGCACTATTCCGTTCACGATCGGTAATTTTATCAAATTGCGTTGTGTACTAATTTTCACATACTATTTACGAGGTTAGCAGAGAATAAGGACTGGTGTTATTTTCACTTCATATCAGAAAAGAATGAAAGTCGCATGACCAACTTATCGATCATACAACTGAGCGCGTCTATCGCTTTTCATTTAACTGACGACGCCCGACATGCGCAACCAACAGACGAGTGCCGTTGCTGTGATTGGTAGCCCGTTCACATTCCTTACTGATTAATTGTTTACTTCCCAAGAGATGTAGAACTCACAGTGGTGAAATGTAAGAGTTATGTGAATTTGAGATTGCGTCATTTGCTTTCAACACCACACGAGGTGAGAGTTTATTGTTTAACTACAAAAAACGCGTTTCGTGTGGAAGTTTAATGTTTACTACGCTTTTCTTTGTATATGGCATTGTCACATATGTTCAAAAACATTTGTTTTTGCATTTTTCAATTAGCTTCGCAAAAGTTGTCACAGATTGATACGAAAACTGTTTATATTAACCTATTTCCTTCGTCCATAAAGTGGTGGTAGTGCTGGACGTGAGGGAATCCACATATTAACGGGAAGCTCGTTAGATCATATCGTATAATTTAATGACATCGTTTTCCTGAGAATCCACGAAATAAGCAATTAAACTTTGTATCAGAACAAAAACTGTCACTGTACGACGACTCATCAGATCTGGTGAGATATACATGAAGTCGAAAAACGCCAGCTATAAAGTCGAAACGTTGCGCCACAGCGATAACGTCTCAGCCGTGGTGCTACGTCGTGTTCGGTATGGGTCCCATGCTACGTATTCAACGCGTGTAAAATTCCACCCTGCCGAACAATATTTAATGCTATTTATCCTAAAATGTGCCGTTCTGTATTTTTCACGCCAATGCACCAGTCATATGCATTTCGCTTCCCATGCCTACAATTTTCTTTTAATGCAGGGGGCGGGGGCGTCACCTGCGCATGCGTCAAAAGGCCATAGCGTGTCATCGTTTACAAACAAGCGTCTACCCATGAGCCTTTGCGTTTTTAGCGTGTGTTGTTATCGTCGCTTGGGACTCAATTGCCGCGCGTGCGCAGGTGACGATCCTCCCGCTTTAATCATGCGCCTTTATTGGTTAATACGTAGTCACATGGGGTTATATAAATTTACGCTACTACCCACACATGATGAACTATTCCCAAATTAACGTCATATTGAGAATTATCATCAGACTATTTGTCACTGCGCATGCG